AATGATAATTTATTTATTTATTTTTGGAAGGGGTTCAAAGGCAAGACCACCTTGATTTGCAAGGTTCCTTTAAATAAATTAAGTATATATATATATATATATACACACACATACATACATACATACATACATACATATAGAGTGAAGGGGGGGACAGAAGACAGTTCCATCTTGTCTCCTGTACTTTACTAATAATAAAATATAATGCATTGTATATACATATAATTATAATATTATAATGTAATAGAATATAATACTAATAATAATACAATATTATAATTCTATATTTTATATTACACGTAATATTACTAATAATATTACAATGTAATGGTATACTACAATATCATAATATATAATACTAATATTGTACTATGCTAATAATATAATATATTGTATTTATATATATCTTGTAAGCCGCTCTGAGTCCCCTTCGGGGTGAGAAGGGCGGCATATAAATGTCGTACATAAATATACACACACACACACATATATATATATTTTCATCTTGTCTTTACTAATAACATAATATAGTATATTGTATATAAATATAATATTTATAATATTATAGTGTAATACAATATAATACTAGTAATAATATTACAATATTATAATTATAATTATATATTTACATTACATGTAATATTACTAATAATATTACTATATAATGGTATAGTGCAATATAGTAATATATAATGCTGATATTGTACTATGCTAATAATATAATATATTGCATGAAAATATACATTGTAAGCTGTTCTGAATCCCCTTCGAGGTGAGAAGGGCGGCATGTAAATGTTGTAAATAAATAATACTAATAATATTACAATATAATGATATAATACGATATTATATTATATAATACTGATATTGTACTATTCTAATAATGTAATATATTGCGTGAGTGAGTGAGAGTGTGTGTGTGTGTGTGTGTGTGTGTGTATATATATAGTAAGCCGTTCTGAGTCCCCTTCGGGGTGAGAAGGATGGGATATAAATGTCATAAATAAATAAATACACACACACACACATATATATATTCCCCTGAGAGGAAGTTGCTTGGTTCGAACACAAAGAGCCGCGTAGGTCGCTCTTTCTGGGCAATTGAATGGAATATAATGGGGAGGATGATGGGATTTGCAGTTCATAATGTGGGAGGGAATGCATCTTATATTGACGGGGTTCATTCAGGTGCATTTGCCCACCTGTCACACACCTAGATTGCCCTGGACAATCTTTAATTGTTCAAAATAGCACAAAAATGACAGATGATGGGTGTTTTAGTCTGAAGCATCCGTAGGGAGGGCTACGGTTCGAAAGAATGGGTATTGGTGTGCAAAGAGCTTTCCAGCACTTTATTTGGCATTGCAACTCCCATCATCCTGCATTTGCGAGGGATAATAGGAGTCCCAGCAGACGTGGATTTCACAAGCTATTATTTCACATATCTGTTTTAAAGGATCTTTTAAGAGAAATTAAATTCTCAAAACTCTCTGTGTACAAGAGGAGAAAAGAGAAAAGGAGCAGGGACAGAAAAACAGTCCCCAGACACACTGGAAAAGCACACACCCCCCCCCCCCTTTCCTATTTCCCTTTCTACCATGTGTTTCCGTTCCCTCCTTTTGAGAACTCCACTTTTTCTGCACATTCCTGGCATGCTTCCCACCTAACAACAGAGGAGAGGCGTCCTCCCTCAGATAAACAAAAGCCCTGGGGTGTCTCTAAGGCTATTTTCCCACCGTTATTAATGGTCCAAGTGACTGAACTCGGACCACCTGCCATTTCAATTTGCTTTTGTCTGTCTGGAGCACGGATCAGTAGGTTTTTCCCCTCCACAAAAAAGGAAATACTTTCCTGGAACTCAAAGCTCTCTTTGCAAAACATGCGCCTTGGAAGACTAGTACTACTGACTGCAGCAGACACACAGCTTCAAAATCTATATAAATAAAAATGTAATGTTCGTTTGTGGGATTAACAGAACTCAAAAACCGCTGGACAAATTGACACCAAATTTGGACACAAGACACCTAACAACCCAATGTATGTCCTTCACTCAAAAAATTGATTTTGCCATTTGGGAGTTGTAGTTTCTGGGATTTATAGTTCACCTACAATCAAAGAGAATTCTGAACTCCACCAACGATGGAATTGAACCAAACATGGCACACAGGACTCCCATGACCATCAGAAAACACTAGAAGGGTTTGGTGGGCATTGACCTTGAGTTTTGGAGTTATAGTTCACCTACATCCAGAGAGCACTGTGGACTCAATGATGGATCTGGACCAAACTTGGCACAAATATTCCATATGCCCAAATATGAACAAAGATGGAGTTTGGGGAAAATAAACCTAAACATTTGGGAGTTGTAGTTACTGGGATTTATAGTTCACCTACAATCAAAGAGTATTCAGAACCACAACAATGACAGAATTGGGGCAAATTTCCCACACAGAACCGCCATGACCAACAGAAAATACTTAAGGCCACCCAGTCCAACTCTCTTCACCAGGGCAAGAAAACATAAACAAAGCCCTCCTGACAAAGAGCCATCAAGCCATAGATATCGATAGATATATATGCTTCACACACACACATTTATTTATTTATTTATTTATCCTGTCAGGAGCAACCAGACAGTTGTATTACATTTTTAACAAAACAAACAAACAAATCAAAGATTTGAAAGGGACAATGATATGTTGCATGTTCCAGAGTAGGCAAACCAGACAATCTCTACAACAACACTGATAAAGAAACAACAAGAAATACTGTTTACCCACAAGCATAAAGAAATTACATATATTAGAAACCAACACTTTCTCATTACTTTATTTTTTGAGATCACCAGACTGGGCCACAGCAGCGCGTGGCAGGGGACGGCTAGTTATAAATAAAACAAATTAAGCTAGATATAGAACTGGCACTGTATTTTAATATATACTAGCTTGGTTGGTGAACTACAACTCACATCATGCCAGGCTAACACCGTGAAACTCCATCAATCCTTAAATTGCATCAAATATATACGTTTGTGGGTGAACTACAACTCTCATCATGCCAGGTTAACCCCCTGAAACTCCATCAATACGTAAAAGTTTGTCACATTGGGCAAGTTTGCTGTAGATGCATCATTAGTGGGGTTCAGTGTGCTTTCTGGCTGCCAGGTAAACTACAACTCCCACTATGGTGAGTCAGTCCCTTCAACCCCCTCCAGTAGCTTAAGTCAGTCATGGGGGTTCTGTGTGCCACGTTTGGTACAGCTCCATCATCAGTGGAGGTCACCCTTTCTCTGGTTGTGGGTGAACTACAACTCCCAGAAAGGAAGGTCACTTCCTCCCAAACCCCTCCAGTAATCAACTTTCAGCATATCAGGTATGTGTGCCAAGTTTGTTTTCAGGTGAACTATATTTATTATATTGTTTTCAGGTAAACAGTTCTTACAACTCTAAAATGTTCATGCCAATTCCCCTCAAAACCCACCAGTATTCAAATTTGGGCCTCTCTTTTCTGGGTTGCTGTAAGTTGATTGGGTTGCTGGATGTAGGTGAACTACAACTCCCCCAAATCAAGGTGAATTTCACCCAAAGAACTCCAGTATTTTTTGCTGGTCAGGGGGTTCTGTGTGCCAAATTTGATCCAATTCCACCTTTGGTGGACTTCAGAATGCTCCTTGATTGCAGGTGAACTACAAATCCCAGTTCCTACAACCCAAAAAATCCCAGGTTAGGTCCAGGTCAATCACTGCTGGGGTGCAAACTGCTCTTTAATTGCAGGTGAACTATAAATCACAGTACCTACAACTAACAAATGTAAAGGCCAACCCCCCCCCCCCCCCCCCATCCACTAGTATTCTTATTTGGCATATCGGGTATGAGTGCCAAATTGGGTGCAGATCCATCATTGTTTGCATTCACAGTGCTCTCTGGATGTAGGCAAACTAAATTTCTATACAAATCAACGTGAATTTTCTCAAAGCCCCCCTGTATTTTTTGTTGGTCATGGGGGTTCTGTGTGCCAAGTGAGATCCAGGACCATTGTTGGTGGAGCCCAGAATGCTCATTGATTGCATGTGAACTATAAATCCCATATGACTACAAATCAAGGTGAATCCCCCCCAACCTCTCCAGTATTTTTCTTTGTTCATGTGGTTTCTGTGCCAAATGTGGTCCAGGTCCATTGTCATTGGGGGTCACAGTACTCTGACGTGATGCAGGGTGAACTACAACTTTCATCATGTGGAGTCAATCCCCCAAACTCCTCCAGTGTGTTTAGCTGCTAAGTTCTGCTCTGTTTGTTGCGCAGACAGAGTTGAAAAGAATAGGAAAGGGTTATGGAAGAGGCAGTGGGCAAGATCATGCAAATTCCACACCAATGGAGAGAGTCGGAAACCCTGGGATGCCTGTGGTGGAGGAAACAGGTAAAATCTAGGATGAAATGGTCCTTGGGTGGGAGGCAGTATGGTGTTTGTGAAGGACACTGGCAGGGCTCTTGGACACGTACATGGTGCTCACGAGAACCTGCAGTGTCACTGGAGGGAGGGCCATTGGGGGTCTCGTAAGTGTTTGAAGTTATAGCTGTTGTGGAAGTGGACTACACTTTTTGGACTACACTATGGCTGGACTTTTTAACCTCAACTGGGATAGGATTGTTAGTCTAAGATTCCAAGTTCTCCAGTACGAAAAGTGCACAATGAGACCCTTAATAATCCTCTCGGAAGCTTGGAAAAAGCCGTCAATGCGCACATAGATACACACAAGGCTCAAAGAGGAACTCATTCAGAAATCACCACCATCAGGAAGTCCCAAATCACATGCAGCTCCCAACTCATCTCCAGGGGAGTCTAAGTCAGCAAAAATGCAGACGGGCAGGATATACTGCCTGCAGAAGTCAAGTGCAAAATAGACGAGGAGGTCACATAAAAAGAGAAGGAAGGAAATCTCATTCTCCAAATGACATCACTGGAAAAACATGTGAGGGGGAAAAAATCATTTCCAACTTACTGGTTGAGTTGCCTTGCATTTGGATGATGCATTTGGACTCCTTGCCGGTCTCTCGGGAGTTGAAGGGTCGAACCCGGACGGCCACCTTGACAGAAGCGCCTGACATGTTGGCAGCTTCTTGCGCGTACTCCACAAACTAGGTACCAGAGACTTCCACAGTGGTTTCTTCCCTCTTCCGGGGTTACCTTTGAAAGGGAAGAGATGGAGAATTCAGTGATTACAAAATAATTCTAGGCTGTTACAATAACGACACATGTCTGAGCTCTCGTATACACAAACTGACACTGTTTGTGGCTTCAAAGAGAGTACGCGTAGCAATGCCCCCTCCCTCCCACCTCGCTGATCTCTCATTAAATAACAGCTTCGGAAAGAGAGACATTGTTCCCAGCCCCACGCCCGGGAGGAAAAAAAATGGAGCCTGCATCACTGACATCACTCGTGACTCAGAGCGCTTTAGAAGGATGGCTGTTCGTTCTTTGTGTTGTTTGCTTCCTTTATTGCTGCATCTCCTAAGCGCACCTCCAGGGATCTCCTCAGTGCATGGGGGAGATGGAGAAGGCTGCACAACAACCTTTACGTAGAGCAGTGTTTCTCAACCTGGGGGTCGCGACCACTCGGGGGGTTGCCAGGAGGTTTCAGAGGGGTCGCCAAACACCATCAGAAAATATATATTTCTGATGATGTTTGGAAACCCTTTGACAGAGAAAGCCGAACATCTCTTCGCCTGTCCTGCTCTTCCATTTTGGAAACACATGGCGAATCCTCCCACCAAAAGTCCTCCTCTGCTGTGATTGGACGGTCTCTCAGCCAAGGGGGGGCTGTTTCTGAGACTCAAAGCAGGGAGGGGAGAGCAGGTGTGCTCGGTGCATGTCAGACGAGGGAGAGCATGCAAGGCAGGAGGGAGGCTCATGCCAGCAAGTCCCTTCAAGGCAAGGAGGTTCTGTGTGGGAAGTTTGGCCCAATTCTATCGTTGGTGGGGTTCAGAATGCTCTTTGATTGTAGATGAATGATAAATCCCAGCAACGATAAATCCCAGTTGCATTAAGATCGCTACTGACCAAAAGGTTGTGAGTTCGAAGCCAGATCAGGTTGGAGTGAGCTTCAAACCAATTTGTGTAGCTTGCTGTTGACCTTTGCAACCCGAAAGACAGTTGCATCTATCGTTGGTGGGGTTCAGAATGCTCTTCGATTGTAGGTGAACGATAAATCCCAGCAACTACAACTCCCAAATGCCAAGGTCTATTTTCCCCAGTGTTTTCCCCAAACTCCACATTTCCACCAGTGTTTTCCCCAAACTCCACATTTGGACATATTGAGTATTTGTGACAAGTTTGGTCCAGATCCAAACTGGGCCACAGTCCCCGACCGGGACTGTGGTGTAGCTGGCTGGGAGTCAGTTGCATTAAGATCACTAGACCAAAAGGTCAAGAGTTCGAAGCCAGCCCAGGTTGGAGTGAGCTTCCGACCAATTTGTGTAGCTTGCTGTTGACCTTTGCAGCCCGAAAGACAATTGCATCTGTCAAGTAGGAAATTTAGGTACTGCTTATGTGGGGAGGCTAATTTACGACACCATAAAAATCTCCAGCAAGCATGCAAAGAATGAAGAAGTACTTCAACAGTGTCACAAATGGACGGTGAAGCGACAGCTCCCCTGGTGGCCAAAATATCCTCATGAAAAAGCTGGAATGTAAATAGCCTCTGTGCATCTGTCTATATATGTTGTGTGTTCATGGCATTGAATGTTTGCCATGTATATGTACATTGTAATCCGCCCTGAGTCCCCTGCGGGGTGAGAAGGTTGGAATAGAAATATTGTAAATAAATAAATAAATCCATCATTGTTTGAGTCCGCATTGCTCTCTGGATATAGGTGAACTACAACTCCAAAACTCAAGGTTAAGGCCCACCAAACCCTTCCAGTATTTTCTGTTGGTCATGGGAGTTCTGTGTGCCAAGTTTGGTTCAATTCCATCATTGTGGATTTCAGAATGCTCCTTGATTGTAGGTGAACTATAAATCCTAGCAACTACAAGTCCAAAATGACAAATTCACCCCCTCCCCCGCATTATTCAAATGTAAGTGTATTTGGTATTTGTGCCCAATTTGGTCCAGTGAATGAAAATGCATCCTGCATATCAGATATTTACATCACAATTCGTAACAGTACCAAAATTACAGTTATGTAGTAACAACGAAAATAATGTGATGGATGGGGGTCACCACAACATGAGGGACTGTATTAAGGGGAAGGTTGAGAACCACTGATCTAGAGGAAAGAACCAGAAAAATAACCTTTTATCTTACAAAACCACGTGAAATTCATTGGGTCAACATAACATGGCTCCCTCAAATGAGAATTCTGTCGCCTCAAACCAATCTCCACACAACATTTACAAATTATAAAGGCAAAAATAAAAGAAACGAAGGGGTGGAATTACTAGGAATGACTGGGATACCTTTTGACAATCAAAATAACCTAAGGGTGTATATAGAAAGGAGGGGAAGACAAATGACGTCCAATGCTCCACCCTAGAAAACGGACCACAAGAAACCCTGCCGTGAAAATAAGAACAGGCATCGGCAATTAAATAAATACCTTCCTGAATTCTAACTGCACCAAGCTACCGATTCCAAATCATCCATTCTCATCCTCCGGTCCCATCCCTGGCGAAGCCGAGGAGGATTGTCAGCTCATCATCTCAATATGGCTGCCCCGGCAATTGTGCTGTGCTGGATACAGAGAGAAGGAGGGGGACGCACAGCCGCACCAGGCAGAATGGCAACTGTTTACATAGGCAGAGAGGCCTAAAAGGAGAGGCAGGAACAAAAACACACTGCCCCCAATTCACGGCCGTGGGAAACCCACAAAAGGGTGGAGGAATAAAGGGGAGGCTGGGGGAGGGGGGGATTCAGTTCCCAACCCCACCCTGATAGACAAATGGAAGAAGAAGATAATAAGGGTCTAAAAGCCCAAGCGAAGATACGAAGATACTGCAAAATCCTGAAGGGCATCTTTTGTGGATGGTTGGGAATCTACGGATAGGATTCAGAGATATCAAACAGATCTCTTGGAAGAAATAACTCCATGATTCTGAAAATCTTATACAGAATTCAATCAATCTTTGGGGAACACCACCAAAGTTCCCTATGACAGACACACGGCTATACAGTGTTCCCTTGCTACTTCGCGGTTTGTTTTTAGCGGACTCGCTGTATCACGGTTTTAAAAATATATACATTTTAAATATATATCATGGTATTTTCACTGTTTCATGGATTACAGTGTTCCCTCGCTACTTCGCGGTTTGCTTTTAGCAGACTTGCTGTTTCGCGGTTTTCAAAATATATACATTTTAAATATATATCATGGTATTTTCACTGTTTTGTGTTCCTTCACTACTTCACGGTTTGCTTTTAGCGGACTCACTGTTTTGCAGTTTTCAAAAAATATTAAATTAAAATATATATTGCGGTATTTTTGCTGTTTTGCGGGCTACAGTGTTATTATTATTATTATTATTATTATTATTATTATTATTATTAACTTTATTTGTACCCCGCTAGCATCTCCCGAAGGACTCGATGCGGCTTACACAGGCCGAAGCCTCAAAACACAATACAGTAAAACATAACACACAATAACAAAGCAAATCAACAAAAGCAAAACAACAACAATGGCAATACATCAAAACATTATTAAAACTGGTTCGGCCGGCGCACTGGGGTACTAGGGTTAAAAGTGCTGAAATGGCAGGAGGCACGTAGGTTTAAAAGTGCGGTGTGCAGCAACGGTTTGTTGAACTAAAGTGTTCTCTCGCTACTTTGCAGTTCCCCTTTAGTGGACTCACTGTTTCACGGTTAAAAAAAATAAATTTAAAATATATATTGCAGTATTTTCACTGTTTCGTGGGGTTTTTCCATCGCCACTCTCTGAGGCGCTTTCCCTCCTCAGTCCTCCCTCCAGCCTTGAAGGGCCTTTCCTTCCTTTCCTCCACTTTATTTTAAAATAGTGTATAACTACTAAAATAATGTATAAATATTAAAATAAATATAGTGTCCCTACATTGTGGTTTTTTACTAACTGCAGGAGGTCCTGGAACATAACCCCTGCAATAATGAGGGAACTGTATTAAGGGGTCATGGCATTAGGAAGGTTGAGAACCACTGTTATATGTAGTAATTAATTGTTATGATTTCTTTATGTACTGTATGTTGGCATTGCATTTTTGCTGTTGGTATGTTGTTAACCACCTTGAGTCCCCCCAGGAGTGAGAAAGGTGGTATATAAATACAGTAAATATATCAGATTATGTGTGTGTGTGGTGTATATGTCAAATTGGTATGTGTGTGTATTTTTCCTTGACAATGGCAGAGAACACAGTCGCTTGAGATCTCATCGTGCTCTGCTTTTAAGAATTGAGAAAATCCTGGCTTAAAACACATCCCAACATAGCCACGTTGTAGTCCTCATCCTTGAACCCTACCTCACCCCTTCACATCCTTGTCTTGCCTAACAGAGATCCAGTTTGGTATTACAGTGTTCCTCATGTTGTGGTGACCCCCATCCATAACATTATTTTCATTGCGACATCATAACTCTAATTTTGCTACTGTTATGAATTGTAATGTAAACATTTGATATGCAGGATGTATTTTCATTCACTGGACAAATTTGGCACAGATACCTGATACGCCCAAATTTGAATACTGGTGGGGTTGGGGAGGATTGATTGTGTCATTTGGGAGTTGTAGTTGCTGGGATTTATAGTTCAGCTACAATCAAAGGGAATTCTTTACTCCACCAATGATGGAATTGAACCAAATTTAGCACACAAAACTCCCGTGACAAACAGAAAATACTGGAAGGGTTTGGTGGGCATTGACCTTGAGTTTGGGAGTTGTAGTTCACCTACATCCAGAGAGCACAAACAAGGATGTATCTGGACCAAACTTGGCATGAATACTCAATATGCCCAAAGGTGAACACTGGCGGAGTTTGGGGAAAATAGAACCTGACATTTGGGAGTTGTTGTTTCTGGGATTCATAGTTCACTTACAATCAAAGAGCATTCTGAAACTTACCAACAATAGAATCGGGTCAAACTTCCCACACAGAACCCCATGACCAGCAGAAAATAATGTGTTTTCTGATGGTCTTTGGTGACCCCTCTGACATCCCTCTTGCGATCCCCCCCCCCCCGGGGATCCCAATGCCCAGATTGAGAAACGTTAATATATAACTATGAACTTAAAATCAGATAAAACCATTAAGCATCAGACCTACATAAAATTTAAACATTGAGACAAGCATAAAATTATCCTGGTATAAACATCATTCATTCATTCACACATACATATATATATAGGTGTGTGTGTGTGTGTGTGTTTATAGTCTAATCTCCTGCAGATGTCATCAGTTGGGGACCCTTCCCCTCAGCACCAACTGCTGTTCTGGGCCAGAGTGAAGAGAGAGGGGGCCAGAAGACAGTTCCAACTTGTCTCCTATGCTATGCTAATAATATAATATAATATAATATAATATAATATAAATACATATAATATTTATAATATTAAAAATTAATACAATATAATACTAATAATATGATATTATAATTATATATTTTATATTACATGTAATATTACTAATAATATTACAATATAATGGTAAAGTACAATATAGTAATATATAATACTGATATTGTACTATACTAATTATATATATATATATATATATATATATATATATATATATATATATAGTAAGCCATTCTGAGTCCCCTTCGGGGTGAGAAGGGCGGCATATCAATGTCGTAAATAATAAATAAATATACATGCACACACCAAGTTTAATCCATATATTTTGCACCATCGGTTTATATATATATATATATATATATATACACACGCAATGCTGTCATCTGGCCCTCACATTACCAGTGACACATCCTCAAGAGATTCCAGCCCCACCTTCTAATGGCTTAAGTGGCTGCATCCTTGAATCCAAGAACCCTTAAGGATTCCAGGTAATTTTAATATTAAGGCTCCAAAACACAAAGATGACTATGCTAGTTTAGGTATCCCACAGAAAGTATGGTGAAAACCAAAGTCAATAAAACAGAAACAGAAAGAAGACTATGTATATGAAGCTCTGCTTGATGTTACTGTATACAACCAGGAGGAAACAGTTTTTCAAAAGCCAGATACATTATTGTTACACTGAATATCCTTTCATACTTGCTACTAAATAACATTGCATTTCCTATCGTATTTGTTGTGGTCCTGATTTTAAGAAGCCACCTGGGGTCACGCACACTATTTGAATAGATGGATACAGACAGAAGACAGGATGGAGGCCTTTCGTGCAGAATCTCAACCTTGTCCCTTTGTTTCATAGGAGGAAAGATAGGCCAACGAAGGGAGGGATGAATTTGCAGCTTGTCTCTTGCTTACTCATCTCCAAGACAGTTCAGATTAAACTAACAAACAGATGAGTGCGACAGCTTTAACGCAAATGCATTTCAATATGATTATTATTTTTATATTCACATCTTAATGCATTTGCTTTGTTTTAATTGTACAATGTCATGCCTATAAGGACATAGAGTCCTTCTGTCAGGAGAAAGGTGGGTAAGTAAGATCAATTTTGGAGGTGCTGATTTTTACGTGAACTTTTACGTGAAGCGCTTTCAGTCCCCTTTGGGAGACATAAAGCGGGGTATAAATAAATATAATAGTAAGTCAATAAATAAAATGGAAATTGGGAGAAAAAGCAAGTATTAATGATAATAGAACATGGCTCTATAGCCCGAAAAAACCCACAAGAACCTAATGATAATACAGTTTTATTGTTGAATATTTGTATATTTTAATTTTGTTTATTTATATCCCGCTTTATCTCTCCATAGGGAGTGGCTCACAATCAAAAACATGACAACATAAAATATACAATAATATAATCTATTGTTATATATTATTAGATATTAGCCGTCCCCTGCCACGTGTTGCTGTGGCCCAGTCTGTGTATATGTGTTTTGTGAGTGTATGCATTGTGTGTGTGTATATTTGCGCATGCGTTGAAATGTATTTTTGTTTTTTGGCTTTTAAATTCTCTTCCGCTGTGTTTTTCAGTGTTTTTATTAGTGATGGTCACTCACTGGCCTGATGGGTGCATTGTGTTCAAATTTGGTGTCAATTCATCCAGTGGTTTTTGAGTTATGTTAATCCCACAAATGAACATTACGAGGGACAGGGCCTTCTCAGTAGTGGCCCCCTGCTTGTGGAATTTGCTCCGCAGTGGGATTAGATCGGCGTTCTCCCTCCTCACTTTCAGAAAAAAACTAAAGTCGTGGTTTTGGAGCCAGGCTTTCAGCTAGTGGACATAGCAGCACTGAACTTTAGGATTATGACAATTGAAAACAAATATGTGATTTTGATTAGGCGACTACGTTAGTATATGAGTATGTGATTTTAATTAATGTTATTGTTTAATTTTCTATGTATTTGATTTTATGTTGTTGCACTGATATTATGGCATTGAATTGTTGCCGCCCTGAGTCCCCCCCCCCCCCGGGGGGTGAGAAGGGCGGGATAGAAATGATGTAAATAAAATAAAAAATAAATAGATGTATGTTGTATGTTGTGTCTGCACTGTCTGTTTTTGACAGACTGACTAATCAATAAGAATTGTTGTTGTTATATATTATTACCATTCCTTATAAATTGTATATCCTTTCTATAGAATCATAGAATCAAAGAGTTGGAAGAGACC